TATTTTTAATGTATTTCATTATGGATGTAATTTTATTTGAATGCTAATACAACTTTATCGTTTGAGTATTTCTATTTTCTCTTATAATTTGAAAATCCAATAATAAATTTAAAACCGCTATTTGAGTAGTACGTACATTTTATCTATATATAATGCATCATTAGCTTATTTTAAACAATTCTTATTATTTTATCATTTGTGTACAACGAAACTAATTAAGTCGATTAGTTTTTTCAGTACAGACATGTTTTGAAAAATAAAATCATGTTTTTTCATAATACATATATTATAAATGGAAGTAGCTTTTTAAGGGCAAACTGTCACGGTATAATTGTTGTTTATTACTAATTTGTTTATAGCAATTAATAATGTCATTATGTTACATTTTTATGGAACTGTTTACTTGTAATGCATCTTCAAAGAGATCGCCTACACATAAACTGCATTAAAATTAATTTTGCCCAAATACTATGTGTAGAATTATCAAAAAATAAATAAATCATACAATAAAGTATTTCAAGAAATGTTTCTGTAATATACACCGTATTTGAAAATCGAGCAAGGATGCGTTTATATGGACAATTGACTTATATTTTTTCTTCAATAAAACATGTTAGCTTAAAACATGAATTGTCGTGGGCATACCGTTTTAGCCAATCGATGCGGAACTACCTATATACGGATTTATATATTTATATATATATATACCGGTTGACGAATTAAAGATGTCGCTTTAAATAGTTAAAAAACGGTATTGGGTTCGTTTCACAAGAATAGTTCACCTACTTAATGAGTATGATAAACCGCATAAGGTATATCTCTTACCTACATCTGCTTAATTATGCGATCCCGTTATTTATTTATTTTACAGAAATACTTTTCAAGTTTCAATTAGTAATATTGAAATGATCATAATCAATATGCAAGTCTGCCACTATAAAACTTAAATTAAAAAAAATAGGCTTTTGGAGTAGTTTAAAATCTTAATTATTAGGAGTTTGAAATTGTGTAGCCACACTCGATATTGTGTCAACTATCCCATACAATAATAGCATTGGAAAACAGCATTGTTGGAAAATGATAAATGTTGTATAATGCTCTTAAATGATTAATTTGCACCACATTATACTGAAAACTACTACTAACCTTCTGCGTAGCAAAGAGATATTTTACAATATTTAAAATGTATTTTACTGATATTGTTGTAGCATGTTTCAGATTTAGACTATTTTTGGCGGGACATCATATCGCCGCCCCGGTAGAATAATGACAGAACTGCAAAATTTGGTAAAATGGACTAAATTCTTCAATGTGTTTAGCGAACGCTTAATGTAGAAAAACGACGTAACTGTAGTTGTAATAATTTCTCAAGCATTCCCGTTCCATTAAAATTACATCCCATAACATTTTAGTGAAAATAATTTGGATTTTTGGTTCTCTTGTAAAATTTCAATTATTGCAGTTGTGTCATTGTTCTACCGGGGCGGCGATATGTAGTAACAACACCAATGTATCAATAATATATTTTCTAAATATTACTAAATAAAATATTTTAAGTGAAATATTTTCAAAACCTTAAAAAATTATAAAATTAAAAATATTTTTTACCAAACCTAAGTAAACACGTTGATAAAATTATTAATTTTTTTTTTGCTTTATGGGTACACCAATAATTATTTTTGACGTGACGAACTTGTAAGTTGAAAAGATATGCTAATAGCTTAACTGATTTCTAGAACATAACTTTAAAAGTTTTTGTCTCACTATGTGTCGGAAGTTTCAGAAAATATAAAAAACAGCTTGCATAAAACTGTTGATGCAAGTTGTTTTTTAATATTTTGATGTAAAGTCTAAAGAGCGCCATACACAGTGATCTATTTAACACTCAATAATTGTAAATTTGTAGTTTTTCTTTTCATTTAAAAGTAGGTGTATTATTAATTTCATAATATTGTAAAATAACAAAACAATTTTACGTTAAATTAATTATCCGGTACGTTCATTATTGGTTAGACATAATGTTCATTATAATAATTACATTCTAGTGAGCATGTTTTTATGATATTTTTACTGGAAGTTATATAAAAACTCAAACGCGACCAAAGTCGCAGAGTGATACTAAAAATAAAAAAGAGCTGTATGAATATTGTATTTGTATAATTTTAAAGTATAATCTCTGGGGAGTTGTCTTGTATAAAAATATCCGCAATTAATTTTTAATAGGAGTTTCAAAATTACTTTTCAGTGCTTTGCCGATACCGTAATTATAAACGTTAAACCTTTCTATACATTTACAGTTATGAAAAACAAAAACAGTTTCTTTAAAAATAAGTATATCATTTTATGCTTCATCGTAGTCGGTTTACCGTGGTGCGCAGTTAAAATAAGCAGTTTTCTGTGAAAACAAGATGGAATTGCATTCTATTTTACTACTTGTACATAAGGTTCTGCGAACGTCCCAGCTATGTCTTAACAATTTGCACGGAACACACATGTCGACGATTTAATTCAAAGTATAATATAGTTTTTTTTTTTTTTTAATATTTTATATTTGCACGAATATACTGTATATATGTATTTCGGATACTTAATAAACGAGTTAGCGCGTTTTTTATGCACGACGAACTTTTCCGGTGATTTTCATTTTTAACTTTCCAACAGACAATATTCGCTTGATGGTACTACATCATAATATACGTTTGCATCGAGATTTCATCGTGTTATATTATTTGCTCTTTGGGTAAGTGCGCGTTTTTAATATAAGGCCACCGGAAAATAAAATGACGAATTTTGTGATTCGCGTTATTACTTATTACCCAGTAGGTACACACTGCGCTGTTGTGCGTTTTAAAGCAATATTAAAATATGTTTGCAGTTTTTTATACACGAACGATACGGTCAAAACTTTGTGATACCGCTTGGTCGGGTTAGACTCAGACTGGGTTCAATGTAAAAACAGTCTCTCCGCCTGATTTGACCATTGAATAAAAAAATATAATAATAATAACAGTTAGGTATTTCACCTAACCCGGTATTGTCTGTGCAGCAATTTCATTAGGACTCACCCGGCCTAACTCGAATTTTTTTATATTCTTTGGAATACTCCCCCCCCCCACCCCCAGGAAGAAATTACACAGGAACATACACAGTTTAATGCAACGCCACGAAGGATTAGGTCAATCCGTATCGATTCGTCATAAAACGTTGTTTGAAAGTGTACATTTAACGTTGAAAACTATATGTGTATATATATATGTATGTGTTTCTCGGCTCAACGTGGGGCTGTTTAGTGACGATTTTTTTTTTAACGGTCAACGTTCTTCGTGTAGGACTCGATAATAGACTGCCTCGGTGACGTTTAATAAACGATCAAGAGCGGTCGCACGTTTAATACTCGGAACCACGGTCATTAGGTGGAAACGAGTGGATCTGCCGGCGTGGGCTGATGGCGGTATATGCGCACGGCCAGCGTAGACTATTATAACAATACGGTGTATAACCGTGGACCGGACTCGGCGAATAATAATAATAATTGACACCTACTCGCGGCCGGATGTCGCTCACGAATCCGGTCACCGGCACTCTGTGTAATAATAATTATTATCATTATCGTTATTGCTGCTTTAAACGAAGGGATTAAACGCCGCGCCGCCCTTGTGGGGGCCCGCAGCAGTGCCGTACCGGTAGCCGAACGTCGCGGGCCGTCGCGGTTACTACACTAATAATAATAATAAAATTGTTATCAATTACCGCAGTAGGTATTGTAATACATCATTATTTTATGGTAAAAATGTTATTGTAATGATAATTAGGTATGTAGCCGTTTTCGCCTTCCGTGTCTTACACGTGGAGCTCCCGACAATTGGGTGACCCGCTGGACACTGCTGTGGGTACGTTTGATCAGACATGTTCAGGTATTCTTTTTGACCGGGCTGGTTTTTTTTTTTAAATCAAATATTACACCGCGGTCGTGTGAAATTTTATGAAATGTATTGCAAAATTATTTTATGAAAAAACTATTTTGTATATTGTATAATTATATTAGCCAAACGGTTTTTTTTAAATTATACACAACAGGGAAATTACCTTTAAATACATAATATATTCGGCTCCGATGCGAAAGTACTTTCTACGAAAATTGACGGAAGTTTAAACGATTCAACCATTAATTTTTGTCAAAACGCGTCTAGGTACTTTTCTATGTGTTAAACATTTTTAAATTGTAAACGCCCCGTTCTAAAATTTTCTTGCTCTCATAAAACTGTAATGGTATAACCAACTTATTCTTTGTTCATAAGGTACTGTAACCGGAAAAACCGCGGTTTGCTAAAAATAAGGTTTTTTAACTTGAAATAAAATTTAAAAAACTTTTAAACAAATCATTTATAGATACACGATTGAACTTCTAAACTGCATTAACTCGAATTAGGGGTTTTAAAAAAAAAACTTTTACTTCTATTTTATTCCAAAGTCAACGGACACCTCGCACTACTGAAAATGACTTGACTTGTCTTTGTATTTTTTTAAACTTGTCTTTTGTATTAAAGCGTTCAAAATTAACAATGTCAAAACTACATGAAAATGGAACACACAATACATTACAAATTGTATAATACAATATATTTCCTAATATATAATTTGTCACACGTACCAAATTACCTTCAGGTCTAAAGGGATCTAGTTCCACAAATATATTAGGTTAGCTAACCTGACCAACGGCTATTAACCCTGACAAATAGGTTGCCAACCCTACCTGACAGGCTGGTTTGGCAACCCTGACCGACAAGCTAGTAAAACCGGTACGCGACCTGAACGGTCGTTAGACTTAACCTACCCTGACTTACTCATTCGCTGTATTTTGTCATATTCCAGACTCTACGGTTAATAAAAACAGTCTTCTCGGCTTTGTCGGGCTTAGCAATGTTGACCACAGCCGACGTTGGCCGTGTTGTACCTGTATATGTTTTAACTAAGGGTTATTATGTTTTTTTTAATTGCAGAAGCGCTGAGCGGTACCGGCGAGGTGAGCACCGAAGAGGCGGCTTCTTCGTGGAGCTCGGCCGTGTCTGAGGACCACACGTCGCCGGACAGCTGCGCCACATCAAACAGCCGGCCCGGTTCCACGGTTGACCGTTCGTCGTACACCACGGCCGACCCCAACCCGTACGCTTGCCAGTACTGCGAGAAGACGTTTCCGCGGGGCAGCTACCTGAAGAAGCACGAACAGGTGGGTCTGCCGTTTTTTTTTCAACCCTTCCTATATGTATTATTTTTTAAATACAATTTTTTTACCATTTAATAATAATCATACCGAAGACGGCACGCGTCCGCGCGAGACCAGAACGGGGCAGCGATATTGCAGTCAAAATACTTAACAGCCGCAGTCGGTAGCTTACGGTTATACACCCACAACGGACCCGCCTATGATTCATCGCAATAATTGTCGTAGTTGACACGACTAAATCCACGCAGTTGTATCATACGGGTTTTTGTCTATGAAATACTTTTTGATCGGTATTTGTTTTACGATTTACTACAATACAGTTTTACAACAACTTAAACACTGATTGTTTCGGTCAATGCAACTAGGTATACGACTAATAACCTAACAACTAAAACTCAACTATACTAGTGTAAGTATGTCATCCTTAAATTAACCGTAAAATATGGTTAATTATTTAAACCGCGTTATTTTTATTTGTTACGAAGAACTAACCATACCATTAATGTTAAGCCATCATAGTTGAAAACTGGTGAAAAAATCGTTTAAACAAATTAAATTTCTCGGCGCGCAACTAATATTCACTTATAAAGGGTCAGTTGATTTTTTTCAGTCTAACTTAAAAAAAAAACGTTTGGTAATATAAGCTCAAAGCAAACAAATATAATAGAAGACGAACATACTTTTAGTCCGATTCAACACTTAAGCGATACATATGATCAAATAACAGTTTTTTCTCCTCAAAACTAATCAATTTAAAAACCTGCTGTGTATCTTTACATAAATAAAGATTAATAATATATTAGCTCAACGTAATAATATAAATTCCCAGCTGTGACTTTGACAGCTTAATGCGCAACAAATTGCTAAACTTTTAACTATCCCTGACCATTAAATGTTTTATGATAGGATCCACTAAAATATCCAACGATTCAACCGGGCATTACTGGTTTGTTAAAAGAAACTAGATATTGTACACAATCCAATTGTCTAAACACTGTGTAGTACATTTCTTTACAACAAACGATCACTGTGCACATAAACTGAACGCGCAGCTTCATAAATGTCGTTTGTCGGTCAGACATATTTTCTATAAATCACATGATGTTATTATACCTAGTTAATGAAATTTAAACCGTTACGGCAAAAAAATAACTCTTAACTATGTATCAAGTGTTGTTGGCATTTTGCGGTCAACTCGTTTGGCACATAAAATAATCGGTAGTGCTTCCAAGGAGGAGCCGCGTTGTCTGCGGTCGGACAACATTAATTAAAATTGGAAAAAAAAAAAAAAAAACATTAACACAGACCATAGGTACTTTGTACAACGACGTGCCGAGTCGGATTGAATCGCTAAGAAGGTAAACGGGGCGAATACATACATACATATTATTATACAACTCGAGGCCTGAGATCGACCCTGAACGCCGGCCTTGTCCGATAAGGTGCGATAGAACGCGCGAAGATGGTCGTACATCAGATGCCACATTTTTATTATTATTATTATTATCTTTTATAGCTTTTATTACATATTTGTACGTCGTATTAAGAGTATTGCACGATTCGCGTTGTTTGCCCGCTCTGCATGTGACCTAAAACGACCATGTATATCATTACTGTATTAATTGTACTGTGTACAATATTATATCGTCTTGAGCATGTGCGCCTCGTCGAACCAGGCTGTGCAGCATCTGTGGCCCTATGTAGCAGTCACGCTGTATAGTCGGATCACATAAACCCAGTGTGGGAGCAGAATGGGTTTTTTTAACAATTTTTTTTTTGTTTTTATTCGGAGCGCCGTCGAAAGGGTTCACACGTTGTCACATCGTCCGACGGATCCGAGTGTGTAAAAAATAAAATAAAATAACGACACGCGATCCTTTTTTTTTTTTTAATTCCCAAGCAAAACGATCGGTGGGGTGACTCGAGTAGACTATCGCACGGCATTCCTTGAAAATATGAAATTATAAGATTTGCGAAAAAAAAAATCATCGAAATGTACTGACTCAAAATATGTAATTAGTTATACTTGAAAAAAATCATGAAATTTAACCGTACCCTCTCGAAGAGATAATTTCGATACATCGTATGTAAATAATTCGATGATTAATGGTTAACAAATGTAATAGTATTACCGATTGCTTTTTAAAAATGATTAATTTTGTAATTGATTATTTTACTTCATCAATTACACGCACAATACTGCAAAGAACGACAAGGTGTTTTGCACGGTCAGACTGCACATGTTGCGTCCTCACAAACTGATCACCGATCAAAGCCAAGTGTTGCAATTTTCTAATGATTTTTTTTTTACCGTTACACAATGATATACTCGGTACATTTATATAATAATATCGGATCACACGGGGAGACCAGATCGCATCGGGTGGGTTCAGAATTGCCGAGTCGACCAATCTAAATTGTACTGTTAAAAAAAATTAACTACATTTTGTACCGGTTTTACCCTTTTACTCTTATGTTTTCAAAACAGTCAACAAGTCCTAACTATTATACTACTGTTTGAATAGTGTTAAACATGTATGATAGGTATAGTAGGTACTATGTATTATCATACGGAGCGTACGCTTAGTAGAAAAAAATGGGTTCTGCTCGAAAACTGGTTTCCAACGAGAGCGCGCTCGTTGTTTATTCGTCGAGTGTGTTGTGTGTGATGTTGTTTTTTAGTATTATTTATTTATCGCCCCCGGGTCTACTATGTTATATTTTTCATCTATAAACGCATACAACCACACGGGCCGGGCGACAAAAAAAAGCGGTCCGTCGACACGACCGTCGTGTGACATATTGCCGGACCTGATGCGATCACGTTCGAACTCCCCCGGTCTGTCCGTCCGTCACCCTGTACATTGTATATTATGTGTTTCACACGAATTTTGTAGTATTTTTTTTTATCTGTTTTACTGTCGTCGCCGCCGCCGCCGCCGCCGCCACCACAAAACATTTGTATAATATGATAAAAAAAAAAAAAAAAATGTTACAACGCCTGGTGACGAGATGATTTAAGGACACGTGATAACCCGGCCACGATAGCGGCCGTTTCGTGTTAGGTATGTACCGTATATTATAAGAAGATCTATACATAGTACTAGTATGTGTAAGACAAAAAAAAAAAAAGAACACCGCCGACGTGTGAGCACGCAACTCGAAAACCACCACACAGGGATGCTAATCGAACGGACGTCCGAGATAACCAGAAACTCAACAAAGTCACAGTTGAAGCAAGTTAACTTGTCCTAACATAGGTGTACGGACAACCATTATCCAACTTCAGAATAATATTATTATTTTTCAACTCGGCTCGTTGGACCTTGTAAGAGATGCTGCGTCGTGTAACGACAAAATATCATCACGCATAAAGAAACGTTTATTTGTTATTAAAATCGATTAGATTTGATTTATTTTCCATAAGTGGTTCACAAACGTTAGCGTAGCGCGACACACTGCAGGCTTGTGATAACTAAAATAACGTGTGTGGTCGATTAGCTCAAAGTCAAGTTCTAACATCATCACACGGTGATAGAGATAGGGTATAATTTTACAAAAAAATGGTCAATTCCGGGCTCGACAAAAGAAAATGCATTTTTCATTGTTTGCAAGAATGTGAGAATTCACAATGGAATTGATTGAGAAAACTGTTTCTCACAAGTGGCCAACACGAGTTTAGTAAACAACAACAGCTATAGTGTCGTAAACGGCCGAGACGAAGAAGGAAAACATGTATTGCGCCAAAGGGGACGCAACAGGGCGTAGGCGGAATATTATTTCGAAAAACTACCACAACGAAGATCTGAACGGTATCAAAGTAGAAGTGTGCTGGTTCAGACTTTGGAGAAGCAAAAAAATCGTCACAAGAGATGTGACAGAAACTATATCAGCGTTATTGCTTATTGTTCAAGTATTTTACTTATGTACTCGACAGTTTTGTTTTGGAATACAAAAAAAAAAAAAAATAGTAAAAATCTGCCTCTAAAAGAACATTTCTTACTCGTTTACCTTTTCAACCGAATTTTCCACCTGAACAGATTTGTCCGCGTCAATGGTGTTATTTATAAACGAGCAGTGGATGTTGTCATTGTATCGAGTTGAATGTCATTTGAATTGACGTTTTGTACCCAACCGACGATTGAGGGCGATCGCTGACAGAACGTTTTCTCCATAATTTACTAAAAAAAAAAAAAAATATATTAACAGAGAGTTTCAAAAAAATCTCTATTCAGGCCGGCAATTCGCAAAATCACCTTGGATGCGTCCAACGGGCGTTCACGCTCCGGTTTGTTCATAAATAATCAAACCAAAAAAAGAAAAGGTTGTGTGTGGATGTGTACAGGATCGGATTACACCAAGGCTGACGTCATTTCGCGATTTGTCGGTCATCCGATTTCACGGCCTGAGCTGTTTACCGGCACCGCCAACCTGTTGTTTTGCATCGCGAAACACCTTAAGTATAACGAAGCTTGTTGTGCGCTCTGTAACGGCTTCTTCTGCTAATCAAACCTGTAGTTATACATCAAACAAATAATTTGCTCCAGTTTTCCACGCACGTTGCCTCTTAATAATTCTTCCAGACACCATAGTATTATCCTTCCGCTATTCGTGTCTTGATCCGACCTGCCGTTCAATTACAACGACTTTGCTCGAGAGTCTGGAGTCTCTCTAGAGTCTCTCAAGAGTAGGCGCTGAAGTAGTCTCCAGTACCTAGTATCTGGTTCGATATCCATATCACACTGAATGTTTTGAAATTCCGAGCGATTTACCGTGGCGCCGAATTTCAAAGTCGGATCGAGGATGGGCCAACCGAGAGATTGGACCCAAATGTTTTCCGTGCAATCCGACGTACCCGCACAGACCGACCGATATCCCAACAAGATATTCAACAACTATTGCTGGTACGTGCCGCGAGCTTCGCCAGTCGTCGGTTCGCGTGTTATTATTATTATTATTATTTCCGGACTATTTATCTGGTGTTTGGGCTGTTCGATCGGCACCACGTCCGCCACGAACCGCGGACGCGGACGTTGCACGCCAACGACCGTCACGTTTCGGGTTTCCGCGACGCGTCGTATCCTTTCGGTCACACGGTCCGGACCGGCGGCCGATGTGGATCTGCCGTTGCGTTTACGCGCTGTCGTTAACAACCGTCGGGACGCGCACTACGACGCCATAAAAAAGACGGGCCTGCATAACGCAAACCGGGTATCGTACGCGCGAGCGGTCACCGCCAAAGACACCTTCGGCTCTGATTGTAGATATCCATCTGCCGACAGGTGGGACACTGCGGCGGCGGTGGGACCATAAACGGTGCGGCACCGCGCCTCGCCGCCACCTTCCCGGCCGTCGACTCGGTTCGCCGGCCGGGCGCGTGCCCAGAATCCGCGGTGGCCGCCGGGGCGAGCATAACACTGTACGGTCGCACCTGTCGCCGGCACAGCAACAGGTGCTCGCCGCACGACCGAAACGCGACCCGATCGGTAAATCGATCGACGACAATCACGAAAAAAATAATAAAAAAAACCCAATCAAACCGAAAACCAAACGAAACGCGCGCGACACGGCAATAACGTCATTATCGTCGTCGCGGACGTTGTTGTCGCGAAGAGCCAGCGCCACCGCAGTGACCGTAGATAGTAAATGAAAAAAATAGATGATACGCGCGACGCGCCTGTCCGCGCACAACCAACAGGAACAAACGCTCTGGCCGAGGCACACCGGTCTTTGTTTTTTATTTTTGAGGGCGAGAACGGTTTTTTTTTTTTTTAGCCAAAACAGTTTCTACCTCTTTCTTTTTCCGCCAACAAAATAAGGGTCGATTCCCTTTTCGGTTTCCTACTAAAAAAAAGTAACAATTCAAAAATTAGTCTACACATTGATTAGGGGTGATTTTTTTTTTTTGCCATCAGAATATACGGAAACATAAACGACAATAAATATGTTCAGCGCCGATGAAAAACTGAGAACGTATAAGTAGTGTAACGAAGCTAGGTTTCTGTTGTTTTGTTTATTATTAATTTCAACACAAATTTTTAGTCGGAGGCTCATTTTCAACAAATGGACTTATTTGTACACTTAACACTGTAATAGTGTATTTAAACAATATCATGGCCATTAAACAAATAGATTACTAGCCAGACATCGACAAATATGTATGTATATTATTATAGGTACAAATAATATACATATATAAATATTATAACATAATATATAACGGCTAATAAAATGTTTCAAATGTATATAAGGATCGGAATATTTAAAAATATATATTTTGTTGAAAGTAAATTTTTTTTATTTTTATTATATTTTTTATTGAATAAAAGTAAACAGTTATTATTTTTTTTATAAAATTACGAATTTTACCATTTAATAATTAAGTATTTGATACAAATCTCCGACATGATTTATTTATTTTGTTTGAAAGTAATTTCTGTACGTTTTATTCAAATTCGCGATTGTGACGTTCTCTTTATCTACTAATTAGAATTAATATTTTTTTCTTTTTACGGGATGGGAAGTTGCCCTTATCTTGTTGGCAGACAAGGAAATGGCACGGTATTGGCGAAAAACGGACATGCCCCTTTGGGGGAGCCTTTTTAACAATTTAAATTAAATATTTACAAAACAAATAGGTTCTCTTTTTGTTCTCTTATCTCATATCTTTAATTTACCTAACAAGTACGATAACAAATTATAATAACACCTAAGTGTACAAAAATGCACTAAACAGCACAATAAGTCTTCCGACCGGATATTCACCCATCAGAAATTGTCGACCGATAGCGGAAAGGTACCAATCGAATTCACTGGACGACCTAAGACCACAATTTGTTTTCTATTCCTAACAGTTGTACATATAATCAATGAGAGTGACATTTTCTACCTGGGAAGGGATTACCTGGGAAATGATTATCAATGTCCTTAGGGTTAATTACCGGGAACTACTCTATTGGTTCTCAGGTAGAAAGAAGCTCCAGACAAAGTAAAACAAAAGAGCACCCCGTCGGGAAGTTCCTATTGAATGATAAGTGCAAACTCTAACGTTATCAATGGTTATACAACAAGCCTTGTTAATTGAAACCAATAACAGTGTAGGATAACTAAAAAGGATTTTCATACCATAGTTCATTAGTATAATATTATATTGGCTATATCAAATGTTTATTACATAATAATATAATATGTTGATACAAGTATTATTTTCTAGTATTCGTTCATACAATAGCCATCATTTTTTTTTTTTATATTATCTAAGCCATCAAATAAGTGAGATGTCAAAATACAGTGTTATGTATCTACATATTATTCTTAGGACGCCTATATACCTACTCGCACGTTGATTTAAAATTATTCATGTTTAGACATTATTATTAAACATTCTAATCAATGTACCTTCCCGCCCCAAATCTACTCTGCTGATTTCTGACTGTACTTACTACTTTTTTATCGTTAATGGTACAGTGAGCACATCGGGTACAAAATATCATATAGCATTGTGTACACTATTATTGTATTTACAGTGCGGTGGACGCGGGCCGTTGTTCGTTTAAAAATGATCAGAGTTTTGATTAGGACCGAATAGCGTACCGTGTGCTTTCGAAAAGCTATTCGTGAAAAACACTATGATCCGAAATTCTTCGAAATAGGATAACTGGAAATCTTACCCTATGTTATTCGATTGGTTTTTTTTTTTTTTCAGACTCATGGAGAATCCATGCCGTTCAAGTGTCAATTCTGCCGGAGGCTGTTCAAACACAAACGCAGCAGAGACCGGCACGTAAAATTACACACGGGCGACAAGAAGTACAAGTGCACTCAGTGCGACCATGCTTTTTCAAGGAGGTGAGCAGTATATTATATATATATATATGATGATGTTGTTATTATTATTATTATTATTGGTCTTTTGACCGTCATTAATGATATCGGTGTGGATTTCTCCGCACATCTTTACGCGTTCGTAGTGCGTCCATTGAATTCGTGGTCACGTACCGTACGCTCTACACGTAGAGGTACCTCTCTGCCCGTGGTGTACCCATCCCGGTCGTACCTGTATATTGTAAAGAAGATATTTCTGGTACCCGGTTGACACTTGTTACGCCGAATTCAATAGTCGTTATTTTATTTTTTTTTTTCCCCCTTAACGTAATTACTGTTTGGCCACGCGTCCAATTATCCACGGGGAGAAGATACACACACACACACACACACACAGTCGGACCGTGTGTCTTTCTATACGGTCGTGAACTTGTCGACAGATGGACAAGATGCACAAAACATCATCACGCGGGCACACGCACGCCCACCCAAAATGTCACGCAGACGTGCTCCCGAATACAATGCCGAAGAATATTATTTTCATCGCATAATCATCATCCATCCGCGGTCGCGCGTCTCCCGCGGTATGCGCTAACAAACTATTGTGTATATTATGTGTGTGTTGGTCGCTGCCGCCGACCCGCGGACGAAGTTTGGCCGGCCGGCAAGTACGTTGAACCATCGAAATATATATATATATATATATGTATAATAACAAAAAAATACATATATATTAACGTACATGCCGGCTATTCGACGGCCGAACCGAAGACGCGGTAAGCGTGTCCTCGCGTGTAGCGAGCACGCGACAAAAAAAGGGTAGTGAAAGAAGTCGTTTAAATATTAGATTTTGTGTGTGTCGTGTGTGTACGCATAATAGTAAACGTAATAACAATAATTGTGCACGTTATTTATATGTTGTAATATAACAATAATCAAAAACGTCGGTCGGACGGTTCGCAGCGATCACCTGAAGATCCACATGAAAACGCACGACAACCAAAAGCCGTTCCAGTGCACGGTCTGCAACCGGGGATACAGCACGGCGGCCGCCTTGACGTCGCACATGCAGAACCATCACAAGCGAGCGGCGGAAAGAGACAATTCACCGCAAATAGCCGGCCCGTCGTACAAGTGTCTGCAGTGCACGCAGATATTCCGGAAGCCCGACGAACTTCAGGTGGGTTTCGGAGAGGGAAAACAAATCCCCGAGAGCGGCTAACGGGCGGCGGAGTGGTTAGTTTGGGTCAAAGTACGGTATGACCGGTCACTCGATGGCGCTCGGTGAAAACACTGTCTAGGTAAAAAAATTTGCAAAAAATGGGTTTATGTCGTACTCGGATTCGGTAAAGACGTTCGGGGATTTTGGTAAAACGGTCGAAATCGTAAATACTTTTGTTCGTTTTGAATTTTAGACAGTTTTTCCCGGGCACCGTCGAGTTAATCGTCAGAAAAATCGATCGCTCACAAAATAATTAAACGCCAGGTTAATAGTTAATCGCCAGGTCTATTAACCACTAGAAGAATAAGCTAATCGCCGGGTCCAATGACCGCTAAAAATATTTCTAAACACTAGGTGCTAAGTCCTAGGACAATTATCGCCAGGTCAATAATGTTGATCCTAGGGAAATTATTCAATATATTAATTTATTTATCTGAGATTAAACTCTATTAAAAAGCTAAACCAAATACTAAACTAGGCCGACTCTTAAAACGCGCGGTCCATTGAGGTGTAATCGTTCATTCAAGTCCTTTTGTCTAGAAAACATAATTTATCAACAGTTTTCCGAGGGGATGCTTTCCATAGCCACTCTATGTACAATAATATTTATAGATCTTCAACACACATTCGGCTAGCAGGGCGATATCATATGCAAATATATTCGCTAATGATTTCTCCTCCTATCGTGGCTCCTACACTTATCCTATTCAAAACAAAACGTCTGCATTTTTTGGAATAGGGCCTATGCAATATTAGTACCGGTCGTGCAGCGAACAATACAATCAGTCCTAACAATAATACAAACAAAGGGATACGACGTGGCTTTTTCTTTTGGCTTTATGTTGTCGTGCGATATCTTATTTTACAAGCCGAATATTACATTAACGAGGTATGTACACGATCCCGTTAATTAAGGCAGGAGCGGTTTCAATGACAAGACACCACACCCCGCAATATCGTTTTTTTCATTTTCAAAATTAAATAAGGGTGTAACGAATGCGGTGGTTTTTCACCAAAAGACCAAGAACAAAAAAAAATGATTGTAATATTATATCATGCAACTTGACCTTTTAACGCCTCGTCTAATTTTTAGACTCATGTATTTAATAATGTACTATTTCAAATGCAATACGCTTATTGCGAAAATAAGGACATTTGTTTTAATCTAAAATTGTTTTTGTCAAAAAAATATGATATATTGTTGATTAAAACGCTTTACTTCTACTCATCTGCCAATGTTCCAGTATGAAATATAAAAACAAACAGAATAACGTCTCTAAGCTGTTTTATATTACTTTTAGCGATACCTTTCGAGCACATCCGATCTTAGTTCCGGTTCAATTAGTTAATACGACGAGACGAAAGAGTTCCATTTTAAAAAAAAAAACATATCTTCCACACTTAGGAGTAACTCTTTAAAGCATATACACTACCATCATAATATTTGTACACTTATTGACTAACAAAAGAATATGTTATTTAGTGTTATGATATTTAGTTTTTAATGAAATTCAACGTATAAATTGTATTTTACCGGGCGTTTTGTTTGGTGACTTTGCAGTATTTTTCTTTTCTAGCGACTTTAAATAATAATCGTATTTGTAAAATATCATTCAATTACAATACATAATATTATTATGTTTCTATAGATCCACATAGCGTAGCGGACAGCAGGCTACACTAATACGGACTGATCTCTAAACGCGCCACTAGATAGCAGTAAGCGTAGGGCGCTGTGGTTAAAAAGCCATGTCCATTTAAAAGTACAAAAAAAAAAAATAAAAAAACCACTTGTTGTACTATTAACAGCAACATAAGATCGTTTGCGCCGTGTTAAGTAGTCGCGTAAAATGAAAACCAATCGAATCTGTTAGTTTTGGCGGTACCGAAGGAACGATAGAAAATCGTTAAATTTATGCCACTCAAAACAGTTAAATTAAAAGTTCGGCTCGACCGTTTGGAAATTACCGTACATAGACGGTCTGTAGTAATAATAATTTCCGTCGCCTCCTCATTCGACAGTGCAATCATTTTAATTGTGCGATGTCATTGACAGCTGTATTTTGACGTTTCAGAACCACACCGCAAACCATCACTTGGGCGAACAGCTGTCGTCGAATTCCCGAAGTTCAAAACGGTCAACGCCGCCGAAAACGCCCAATCAATATATATGCATGTACTGCACCAAAGAATTGCCGAGCATGGACGCACTACAACAACACTTCCAGAGCAAACACTGTAAGTATAATACCGCGTCGTCAACGGTGCTTTTGGGGTGTACACCGACAATTATTGGTTTGGTTTGGTTTTTTTTTTTTAAAATAATTTCTAGCCGCCATCATAAACGGCAAGCACCAAGAAGACCCGGCGGCGATTCCGTCGGCGTTCCCGTGGTTCAATTTTCCGGATTCGCCTCCGCTGACCCTGCCGCCGTACTCTTGCCGGCTGTGCATGAGCCAATTCCCGTCGGTGCTCTCCCTGCAAAAACACTTTACCGCCGCCCACTATCTCAACTCCGTCCTAAACAACAACAACAACAACAACAACAACAGCCACAACAACAACAACAACAACAACGGCCACGGCAAAGACACGCCGGCGGCGGCCATGTTCAACTGGCCGCCGACGACGACCGACGGGTGCCGCGGGTTCCCGCCCGAAGACAACGGCCAGACCGGTCCGACCGATTTGTCGATTTCCAAAAAACCCTCGGGAAAACACAAAACACATTCGGCGGACGGCCGAAGTCACGCCGGCAAGAAATCCAGGAGTTCGCCCGGCCACGAACAGGCGTCGGGCCCGGCCGCGCGCGCTCCCTGCCCGTCCAAGCTGGAACGCGCCGGGAACGCGTACGCCGACGGCAGCAAACGGCACTCGGGCCGACCCACCGCGGCCGGCGCGGGCTCCAAGCTGCAGTTGCCTTGTCCGCACTGTCACCTGGCGTTCGGCCATTTCGAGGACTATCAGCAGCACGTGATCGGCCACTTCCTGATGGCGGCCGCCGAGTACTCGTGCCAGGAGTGCTCCAGCTCGTTTGCCACGTCCGAGAACATCCAGAAACATCTGATGGAGACGCACGCGCAAAATTTCTACAGGTGTATGCTCTGCAAAGAAGTGTTCCCGACCAAATCGGCCTTAAAGGTAAGATACACCGCCCGGTCCACCACGTCCGTACTAGGTGCCGCCGAGACCTCGACAACGTTTGCGGGGTGGTTGATGGGTGGTCTTGGCTGTAAAAAAAAAATGTTCGGTTTTTACGATTAATCGGTTTGTTCTACTGCGCCAGGTACACTTTAGCATGAACCACGGCAGTGAGCATAGGATGTACCGCTGCAACAACTGCACGGGTGCCAATAGACCTTTGTTCCAGACCGAAATCGAATTCATCGATCACTTGAGAAACACACACTACTCCGCCAGATCTCCACCGTCGATCCAAAACAACATGGTCGGTTCGGTTGTAGTCCATCCATGTGTTGTAATATAAATTGATAATATGTTTTCCGCGCAGATGTTGAGATGTCTAGTGTGTCACGCTACGTTCAACACACAGTCGGACATGGAACAACATCTAGCTAGTCATTCCAAACAGTTTCAATGTCAGTTTTGTTCGGAATCGTTTCACATCGAGTTCCTATTGGACAGACACATACAAACTCATCATAGCTCCACCGTAAGTACTTTTTACTTACATTTACGGCCACCATGTACACGGACCCGTGCGTGACAATACTGTCTATACTGTGAGAAAAACACTTTTTCGGTTTGTAGATACTGAGTCATCTCAATCGAAACCGCAGAGACTCGCCAAATTCGGCGTGCACTTCACCGACATACTTGTCCAGGTCGACGGACGGCAACAAAACGGCGATAGAGAACGGTCCGAACACTTGTGATATTTGCGAGAAAAGTGATTTTCGTAACGAGTTGGACTTGATAGCTCACAAACGAACCGTTCATCAAGTCAAACCTACAAATTTATCGACAAAAGTAAGTTTTTTCGAGAAAATCCAACGACTCGTCGATGTTACTTTAAAATGGTTACAATTTCCTAACCAAAACTATGTGCTGTACGGTAGATATTCTAGTGACGAAAAAAGGTTTTTCTATTCGCGTTATTTATGTTTTTCAGATGAGCTTACATTGCGCGTATTGTAACGAGAATTGTAAATCCAGAACGGAACTGGAGAATCACATGAAGACCCATTCGCAACAGGGTTCGACCGCAGGGAAACACAAATGCAACATATGTGACGAAATCTACCAATCGGCTATCAGCCTGGCCGAGCACAAACTCGTCCATTGCAAGGTACGCTTTACCAACAATATACTACAGTGCAATATCGTTTCCAGTTCTTCTGCCGGCATTATTCTCCACTGTCAAACCGTTCAAAAGTCTCGTTCGGTTCTTCGGGGTGTACCACGAGAACTTTTACATTATTCCAATGTAATCGTTTTTCCCTCTCGTCATACTGCGACCTGCCCGTCGCACAGTGGTCCAGAAAACATATTTAGCTCGTCAAAGTTAAGAAAATAAAAGTTGTTTAATTTTAGAATTCCGACGACTATTTGGCTGTCTGTAAAATACGGATTACAAACATAACCTTTTGTCATTTTTTTTTCATTTTTAAAATCAGTTATCAATAATATGGATATGGAAATCGAAGGTAATTTATTGAAATTTTAAAATTTATGCTCTGGCCTTTATTTATTTGCAATGCAATTGTATAACTATGTAACAATCATAGATCTCCCGACTTAAAAAAGCTATAAATAAAAATGGCCCGATTTGGCCTTTAAGTCCGCTATTGTAGGTTATAGTACAAGCTCTCAGCTTTTTAACCATGTATAATTTATCTGCCTTTAGCCGCCTTTGATGTGCTGGCAATTTAATTGCCGTAGAAAACTGATTTGTTAGGCGCGTGGTACGAATGGTCTACCGGATGATTGTTAACTACCCGTTCAATAATTTAAACGATTTTCGACTATTTTTAATTATTTTAACTAATTTTTACAAATCTAAATTAATATTTCAGAGAATGTTTGTGAGGAAACGTTAACCTATAAAACCATTTTTAATGAATTAAGAAATAACGGATTTTTATTTCCTCAAAATGTTGAGCCAAGAAAACATCTGACAAATTTTATTCTTAACCAATATGGTAATGAAAGTTGAGACGCTGACTATATCTGAAAAATTGAAAACCAAGTTTATAACTTTGCACGTAGCTTGACCAAAACGAATTATTTTTTATATTTCACGTGTTAATAGTTGCTGGCAATTTGATTAACGTAGCTAGGTACTATGAAAAATTCAAATTTTAGATACTTGTAAGAGGTTAATTTTACCAAAATGATGCGACATAAGAAATTATACAAAACTACAACCCCCTAACCACCTTTCAATCCTTCCTAACTCTGAATTTTAGGGGTTAATTAAAAAAAACTGATACCCAAAAACATGTGAATCAATATGCTAAATTTTTTTTTTTTTATAAAATTGAAAAAAACACCCCCTCTAACCTCATAACGGGGGGGGGGGGTAAATTTTTAAAAAAGTTTTAAATTTACGTCTGGTGATGTTAAAAACATATAATTTGACCTATCACGCGGTATGCAAACCCAAAATATCAACGGTATTTTTAATTCGACGAGCTAAACATTTATTTTGGACCACTGTGCCGTCGTGCTGTCTGACGGAATGCGCGGCAAATTCTTACCAAACTATATAGATAATCTTTTTTCAACGTGCTCAGGTGGCGACGAGCACGGTGTGCAGTCACTGCAAGATGGTCATCGACAGCGAAGATCAGTTCTACCAGCACCTGCAGAAACATTGCAACCCGGTCAACGGCGGCAGCCACCTGACGTTCCCGACGTCCTGTATCATCTGCAGGCAAACGCTGGTGTCGGACATCGAAGTCAAAGTGCACGTTCACTACCACCTGGCCAGACTCAAGGAACCGCCGGCCGTGTGCGGCGCGTGCAACCGGTACAAGTCGTCGCCGTCGTCGCCGTGCGCCAACTGCAACCCGAACAGATAACTCTCCGGAACGGTGCGCCGACTGCGGGGCGTCGTTCGAAACGTTCGGCTCGCTGCAACATCACCTGTCCGCCGTCCACAGAAAGCCATTCCATTGTTTCAAGTGCAAGGTGAGCTATGGGACGACCTTTGGTTTCGGCCGAAAGTGGTAGGTCAATTCTCGATCGAACGCGCCTACACACCGATTCATCGACTCCGTCCGGATCTCGTCCCGACCCTTCCTGTTGAGTTCGATAAGAGTGTTTTAAACATGTTTTTTTTTTTTTTTTCTTCGGCTTTCCAGATCGGATTCGAGTCGCAACAAGAAGCCACGCTCCATCTGGGCACACATCTAGCCACGTTGAACGGGTCCGTGGACGGTATCGAATGCGGTCTCTGCCCGTGCGTGTTGCCCACGCCCAACAGTCTGCAGACCCACTTGATCGAGCACACGTTCGCCGGTTGCAAAGCGTTCACTTGCTATCTCTGCTCGGCCATATTCACCGTGCCCACGGGTCTGCAGGCGCACATGTCGGTCGACCATTGCACGGAGACGCCGCCGTACGATTGTCCCAGGCCTAACTGTCAGACCAGGTTTTTCTTCACTGCCGAGCTTGACCGTCACACATTGGAACACCAAGGACAAGACGTGCTGGCCAACGTAAGTCAATCAGCCTAGTGGTGTTTTTATAGGGTAGGGCGAAACTGGCGAGACAGTTTACCGTTGAACGTGATTCGCGAGGTCCTGTACCGGTACTGTACCTTGTCGAACTACTGTTCGAAAGTAAAGTGTTAGAACAGGGTAACCTCACTCGACCTAACCCGATCCAACCTGACCTTGGCTGTTCTAAATATTTTCCAGATGAATTTCTACAAATACCAAAACAAACTGATGTCTATATGCGAGAAGATGTCGTTCAAGTGCACGGAGTGCTGTCAGAGTTTCTTGACTCAGGTGGACTTACAGTGTCACGTGTACGAACACCACCGGAGGGAAGCGGCCGCGCCACGGGTGAACACACCCGCGTCCGACGCTATCAAACGGGAAGAAGGCGGAGCCGGCCCTCAGGAGAACGGCGAACAGACCCTGGGAAAACCGATTAAATTGGAAAAACCCGAAGAAGTCAGCGTGAAAACCGAACAGGTCAAGTACGGTGGCGGCGACGACGACGACGACGACGACAAAGAGGAAGAAGACGAGGAAGACGAGGAAGTGATTGACGTAGGGGTGAACAACCGAGAAGACAACGACGTCGACGAAAAAGCGTAAGCGATACCGAGAAACTGATTATGTGAATATTATTAAAACGATAGGAAATGTACATTTGATTGTAAAATCACGAGTTATTAATATATTATTATATTATTGCATCATTATGAAATATATAACACGCTTAATTGGCATAGCATGATTTATAGAACATTATAGATAATGTATGCGAAGTGGATTTTTTTTTTTTTAAATTTATATTATAATAATAATAATAGTATACAAATAAATAACATAATTAATTATTATTATTGTTAACAATATAGCATCGAACGAGTTTGACGTTTATATATTATTATTAAATGTATTTGTATAATATCATAAAATAATAATAATATTAATTATTATTATTATTATTATTACATTACTTATTATTTAGTACATTTTATAGCGTTTATTATATGTTTATGTTAAATTATTTATAGCTATTTGGTTATTATTTATGTTGTTTACTTTTACTGTAAATAGTTATTATTAATGGATATAATAATAATATTATGTGAATATAATATCAACGATCGTGTACTATTTAGGGGTTATGGCTATTTCTCATATGGTTAATATTTTGTTTTATTTTATTTTAACTTTTTATGTGATACTATTTTATCAAAAAGATTTTTTATTAAACAACCACTTTGTTTTATTTATTTTTTGGTTTTTAACAATGATTATACTAAATAAATATATTATACATTACGTTAATAGTATAAAGAACTTTTATACTAGACCTTTTAAAAACTGGAATGAGTCTAATAGAGGCTCGGAGAATTCTTTTAGAAAATTTCATCGTTTTTGCAGTTTAACCATTTGTTTTTTAATCTATAAAACAACGCAAAATTGAATACATTTCAATGAATTACAGTTTTTTTGAATTTTGTATTTATTTTTTTTCTTACAGAATTGCTTTTAAACAAAAATTGTTTGTACAATATTCGTAAATCGTAATTAAACGGTATGTTTTTAAGATTTCACAATAGTATAGCATTAACCGTTTTTTGACTGGCACAAAAGAATATTTACAGAACGTTATTTTAATTTTAACAATAATTGTTGTCAATAAATGATATTTTTTAGCAATTTTTCAGTGCACAGGGAAAATGTAATTTTATTATCAAAAATAAAATTACTCATAAAAAACCCGGTACACTAGCCACTAAAAGCCCTGAGGTAAGATCATAGTGTGGACAGAACAATGTGGGGACTGGGGGAGATCACAGGTCTACAGGAATTATTACAACTGAAAGTGAAAAAAATAACTTTCAAATAAAAACTTCGATGCGCGAAACTGTGGACACTGCAACACGCTTTAATACTTTCTCAGTGTGCTGGTTTGGACTGTCTAAGTATATGAAATGGGAAATCAGAAATGAAGATGGTGTAGATATTTTTTATGGACTTTGCCGGCAATTGAATACAACCGAGGGCTTCTTAAACGTCTAAAGATGTAGTAAATAAGTAGAAAAATAACGTGCACGTGTATTGTTCAAATAAAAAAAAAAAAAAAAATGTTTTTTACTTAAAGCAAAAAATATTAAGATTACTCATGTACGAATTTATCGGTTTGACGAAAACAACAGATATTGTACTGCTTGCACATTTTATAAAAGCCATATCACGTTATCTGATTTGAATATACAAGTACAATGCTTCACTAAGTTGTTTTCCCAATTTATACCAACTAACTTCTAAATAACAAGACTTTTTTTTTTTGAACTATATAATATACTGAATAACAAAAACACGTATAATTTTAATTCTAGCTACACGTGTAGTTGAATGATTTGTTTTATAATTTTACTTTGTACAACATATTGGACATTTATGAAGCATTATAAAAACAAACCTATACCTACCCTAAATTATTGTACTTACTTAATAACTAGAAGAATTTTGAGCACCTATTTGTGTGTCCCAGTATAAACTATAAGTACATTAGGCTCCAACAATCAGGCGCGGATACAAGGGGGGGGGCATGGGAGCAATGGCCCCCCAAATCTCTCTCTAAAAAAAAAAAGAGGCTGGTGAAAATTATTATAGGTATACATTTATAGTAATAATACTATATTTAACTTTATCTACTATAATAATATCAAAACTTGCATAAGAAAAACATTAAATTATTCTTATTACATATTTCTATATTTAATATAATATTTTGTAAAAATGATATTGGTTTTCGGTCAATTCTATTTGAGATTTGTTTTTGTTTATTTATTACAATAAAAATTGTAATTGTTTATTGAAGTTTACTTTTTGGAACTAAAATATAATGAAAAATAACGATCATTTAGGACGCCAATAAATAGTCTGCACGTAATATTTTCAATTTTGGTCAACTTAAATAAATAACCTACACTTCGTCTCAATCATAATTATCCTGATTTAAAAAAATTTAACCCTTCACTGCATGATTTTTTTTTTTAACCATATGCTATAAATGTACTTAATACTACTTAAAAAAAATTAAAATACATTTTTTTTTTAGTTTTGGTTTCATGGAAAACGCTAATTAAAGAATTGTACTAAATATGGTAAACATAGTAAACCCTGATAATCTCTATTGATATTATTTGATGCCCCCCTCCCCCAATAAGGCATCCTGAATCCGCGCCTGCGGCAACAACTCCACACAGACTAATATTATAATTGAGGTGCTTGTTTTACTAAAAGAGGTAGATTTATATATTCTACCAATAATTGCGTTTAGTTTGAATTTCAGACTATCAGCTCTACGTAAAGCTTTTATATTCAATACTATACAAATTGTATTCCAAAGATTTACTCGTTGTACAGTTTTACAGTTTGTAATACACATAGTATATTATACCATACGGCACAATATTATTTTTGCTGCTTTACACTTGTGGGCATTACTCATGATTTGTCTGTAATGTCATTTCGAGATATATGTATAATAATGTAAACGCATAATTAAATTTTAAATTTTTTCGTGACATTTCCCGACACAATTAAATAATTAATTAAAAAATACAATAAATAATTGCATGTTTTAAAATACTTAATAGCTCTATATAGTTGTAATAGGATAATGTGGATCGCTATGAAAACAACTAGTTTGGGATATACAAACATAACGTTTGTGTGAAAACTGAGATCAAATCGTATAAAAACCCTACGGAAAAAAAATATAATTATTATCATAACCCAGTAATATTTTGAGTGGCCCGTGATGAAAAAATCACCCTGTATAGTTTTACAAAATTGTACTTTTTCGAAACGGTAGTGTTAAGTATGTCGACGATCAATGCAAAAAGAAAGAACCATGTAGTACACAAAAAAAAAACACTGCCGTTTGTTAGTATGGTTTGATTACTTAAGTTTTGCTACTGTTGCAAACGCGAGTACATTATTGGTTTTTTACGGGTTTTCTCGTTCCAACTGAAAAGCTAAGGTAGTTTTTTTGACAAAAGTCTCAACAACAAGTGCGGCTTTCAAAAATTGCAAGTGTCGAGTAAATAAAAACAGAATCGTATTTTTATGTGTATTGTTAAATATTGTTGCATTTGAATGTTGTTCACTTTTTTAAGTGGTATTGATAATATAAAAAACGCTTTTTGGGGTAAATAAAAAAAAAAAACCCAACTTTTTATGCGCGTTGAATGTAATATTATTAAATATATTACCTTGATTTTGACTAGGTCTTAACATTGGACCTAAAAAATAACAAGAGTAACGAAAAACCCTCCTACCGTATATCTTTAAAATTCAAAATAATAAAAAACGAGAGCCAGTTTTTATTCCTACAACTAGAATGCGTTAATAATATACATAACATCATCTCTACACACATACCATACTTGCAGATATTTTCAGATAGGTACTATTCTATACTATACTATGTAAAAACACATCCTGACCTAATTCAATTTTACGTTAAAACAAATAAATATAACTGAACCAAGTGGTGTAAACGATTGGGAAAAAGTGAAAATCAAATTTCGGTTTTAAAGGTGTTGTTTTTTTAAAAACTTCATAAGTGACCATTCCGTTGGTTGATCTTTTCAAAAGATGTTTTGGCTTTTATTTCTGGGACACTTTTTCGGGAAAATAATTACAAAACATTTCGGTTAATGATTTTTACAATATTAAAAGATTTCCACCACCATTTGGTTTTTTGGCATTTTCCTGAATATTTTTAAAATTTAATTAGTATCATATTTATTTCATAAACTTTTTTTAATCAATAATAACTTTACTTTAGACAATAGTTTTTACTGGTAATATTGCTTATTATAGGCGACCTATAGGTGGTTTAAATAATTACTTTTAGAATTATCAAAGTTTAAAAGTTAGGACAGGAGGGGAAGTACGGTTGACTGATGCGCTCAGTTAAAAATAACACTACACTCCACCATACCTCCGCTCTACAACATATTCAATTCTTAGAAACACTTATTTTTTTAGAAATACTGTGTTTTGTTTTGTGTGTTGACATTTATGTTGTTGTTTTTCGCACTATATTTTTTAAACTGTCATTCTTATCCTACCGCGTATCACCATCATAAGCGATACTAAATATTATTATTTATTAATGAAATCGATTATTTATTTCATGCAATAGTAAAACAAAATTATTTATACAGGCATAATGAATTTAAAAAAAAAACTGGTCATAATATGTAAAACAAAATATAAAGATATCTCAGGTTTTTTAAATTTACCCTCTCTGACCTCTGATATTTTGCAAAAAATTTTTTCTAATACTGTGTCGTACGCAAAAAGGAACATTTGTGCAAACATCCAATGAACCGTAGGTTGACTTATATTAGTTTTTGACAGAGAAACTTGTTTTGATCGCATTTAACCGTGTATTCGAATTTACAATGTTAAGGGGTATAAAAGTAATGCCGTGATAAACACAAATCAGTAGTCTGTTTTTGAAGCCACAGTAAATTTTTGAATTTTCACCGAATCATAATTTCAGTTTAACTAAATTATTCTATTATGTTAGCCCAAAATATATTATTAAATATGTTCTTTGCGATATGTTTAATGTTATCTGTAGTAAGTATAAAACTTTAAAACTTTTAAAAAACTTGTATATTATATAACATTGATTTTTGTAAATAAACTTACTATTGATTTGTTTTCCAGACATTGTTTAGCGGTATAAATTGCATGGACCGTACGGTAAAACATAACTAAAATTACAATTTTTTATTAATAACATTTTATTTTTAACAATTCGTAAAAAGCTAAAAGTTAATACGATAATAATTTACTATTGTATCCGTACAGAAAAAAAAATGTTTTTTAGCCAAAAA